TTGACTGTCATCCTCGAGAGATTAACTACCAGTATAAGCCAATTCAAACACGCTGTCACCTCAATCCGGTTAATCTGCGCATCGTCGCATATCAACTGGGCTGATGTTACAAAGATACACAATAGAATTGGTACCGATGTTGATTAGCGTGCACGAGAGACAGTATCAGCGGCCCCAAGTAGATTTACAGCAACGGTATTGCTCTCTTGAATACGTTTCAGGCGCTCATAAAGCACTTGTACCTCTCGGGCCGTGGTGTCAATCAGTTGCTGCTCTGTGGGAGGTACCGATGATGCACTCTGAGATTCGGGGGCGGGTGGCATGGGGTATGCGCCTACACCGGTTTGTCGAAGGAATTCAGCAATTGTGCGAAGTGCCTGCATGAGTGCAGCCAGCTCGGCTGAAAATAGAAAGCGTAAAGCCACAGTTATAAAAAACATGAACGTACTTGCCTGTTGTATGTGCAGGACTATTACTATTTCCTGCTTGGTATGCGCTTTGTCTGACAAATAATTAAACATGGTATAAGTATGAAGGGAGTAGAGAGACTCACATGCCGTGCAAGCAATTACGTGCCAGTGATTGAATCCTTGCGACATGGTCGAGCGCTATCTGCACGTTCTGCTTTAGCACTTCTGGCGAATTTGGATCAGTATGGATGGAATCGTGCAGCGACGATTGTGACATATATACAGAAGCATTCTGAAAGTTAGATGGCGGGATAGATGATATGGACAGAGTGGACGATTGACTGGAATTATTCATTTTGCTACTTGATGATTCTGCCAGTGATCAATTACCACAATATTTACCAGCGGTGGGTTCAACAAGTGCTAATTGTTGTTTAGACTTGTTATTCACGCTAATCATAGTACACACCCGCAAATAACCATGTTAACTCGAAACCATAATTCTCAAATATTCAACCAGTATGATTTTATGCTAGCATTGATTGTCTTCCTGCCTCCTCGATTTTAACGCCTCTAAATGTCTGTTCTCTGCCCACCAACCACGTATCTTCCGCCGATCGCCAAGATCGCGAGTTTCTCCGTCACCCAGCTTCTCGATGCCTTGACTTATTTACAGTCACTCTACCATCCAGAAGTCCGTGGCTCGCGTCGCAAACGTGTGCAGGCGCCTGTATCTAATGGAGAGCAAAATCTACCCCTTTGCCATGAAGATGATAGCGAACTCCAAGCTATCCGATCTGACGCATTCGAGCGCTCATATTCCATTCGGTGGCTTACCACTCTAATCACACAGCTCGAGGTCTGGCAAGACTTATCGCACTCCGAAGAAGTCTCATTGGATGATATTGGGATGCCAGAGCCTACCTTGGCTTACACAGAGATAATCGTCCAACAAGCCGCGTCGCTACTCGCGATTTGTGCCGGGGTCGCTGCTGCTGGAATCATCACCCATAACTTCGTTTTTGGTTCTACAGACGGGCAGAGGCGAGTGGAAGCTCAAATCACAGATATTCCGCTGGACAACAATGACTACGGGAGTGTGGGAGCGCAGACATGGGGCGGGGCATGTGTCTTGGCAGAAATGATTGTGGAAGATCCTGAGCGATTTGGACTGGATTCTACCTCTCACGGCTCTGAATCACGCAGGCTCAATGTCCTTGAGCTCGGAGCGGGAACAGGGTTGGTTAGCTTAGTGGTTATGAAATTACTGGATGCATTGCCATCTTTCAACCATCGCGAGGTTCATGTGGTTGCGACCGATTTCCACCCTTCTGTGTTAGCCAACCTCAGGTCAAACGTTGACGCGAATATCTCCTCCACGCACAATCAAATGATTTCAACCCATTCCATTACCACTCATTCTCTTGACTGGTCATCATTCTCTACTACTCCTCGACCGGATTGTCTTTCGTACCCATTTGATGTGGTCCTTGGTGCGGACATAATTTACGAAGCCCAACATGCGGTTTGGATCAGGGACTGTCTGAAAGGGCTTGTGCGGCGTCCTTCTGATAGCACCGTACCTCCCGCCGCTTTTCATCTTGTGATACCACTTCGTTCAACGCACAGATTCGAGTCAAACACGGTTGAGTCCGTGTTCCTCAAGGCATGCGATGTTGATCCGACCGGTGATGTTGATCTCGTCATACTATCGAAGGAATATATTACATGTGATGCATATGGCGATTATACGCACGGACAAGGTCTTGATGAAGACGTGGAGTACGTTTATTATAAAATTGGCTGGTTTAATGCACGATTGTAGAATCATATGCATAGAATCTAGATTACATAGAGTTGCATGCTGCTAGATGTCGCATTTTATAGGGTATTTCATCATGTCGACGGCATGCGGTGGTATGATAGATGTTTGTCTACCAATCGATACTGGCGCATCATCATGTGATTCCAAACATCAACTACCCGCACGTGACTAAGGCGCCATTCAGGGGTCCAGGACCTCTGATTTGAATTTCGAATTCACGTGGTTGACTGGGACCCGGCACTCTTTCGTGCGCAGCATGGTATTGTATTGTCAGTCTTGTCTTGTCTTGTGTGGGTACTCGGAGGCTGTGACAGATCCTCCAGACACAGTCTTCCTCGCGCTCAGGAACATCATACTGCCGCTCTGATGGCCACCCTTGTCCATCCTTCTTTGTGCTTGGACTCCGCCATCATTGATGTCATCATCCCTTGTACAAATGTGCCAGTATCTATCCTAGACTATCCTTCTTCAACATCCATTGTGCTTCCATTTAGTGCTGGTCTTCATCGTTATCCATCACGCGGCTTGTCCATAATCGAACACGCATCCCCAGTAGTTTGATCAATAGGTACGCTTGAGGCCTTCTGACTTGAACCTTCGACTTTCCGATTCTCTACTCCCCACTCAGCAGACTCTATATCCTTGCCATGCTCATTCGCGAGAGAGACGTATAGTCGAGCCATGAGTCTACGCGATCAACTCCTTTCATTCTCCGTGGCCCACCGGACGGAGGAAATCGCATCTAATCACCAATGAGTTATCAGCCAGTCACTTCTTCATCTATGCGTCAAGACAGTGGAACTCCACAAACGCGCAGAATCAGCTGCTAAGGCACTTCAGTTGCTAGTCCTTCCGGATAATTTTAGCTTACCACTTAGTTCAAGCGCGGGTACTTTGTTTCAGTGAAATAGGTTTGCCCGGACTTCTCAAATATACCTCGAAACACCATATGTTAAATAAATACCACGACGGATCATCGCCCACCTCCCTGCAGGCCACTCGCCAAGCATTTCCCTACACGGTAACGCTAGTTGATACATGTACACGATCCTGGAAGACAATCGAATCCATGCTATTTTCTATATCGGATCCGGCCACGAGTTTAGCGTGACATTGTCGAACGCTAAGCATGAGGCGTGGTCCCAGCACAAACATCTGCACGACCAATAGAATCTGAAGAGCACCTTCGAGTATATTAGTTATCGTCGAATGTGAATTCTACACAAATGATGAGAAATGGTGACACGCAGATGTCAGCGACAGGTCGGCGCACCTGGAGCTCTGGAAAGAAAAAAGCAATCTGGAGGCAAGAGACACAAACGAAGCTAGTACGTGCGGAACTTGAGAAAGAGATAGTCCCAGTCACATGAGAAGCTCACCTCGCAAAATAAAGCACGTGAGATTGTATCATGACTCTGAAATAGTCCCCAATTGTCGATCCTGTCGATGGGCCGAGCCGTCGCAGGCTACGGAAGTGTTTCACAGCAATCCAGACTGAGAGACACAGTGCGAGGACCTCCCAAACAGTGTTGAGCACCCAAACCATTGAAATAAGAAGCACGCCGTCCCCCTCATATTCGGCATTGCACATATATGTACCGGACATTATCCACTCATCTAGTGTTTATTCAATGAGTCGTGTTCTTTATGTCAACAAGTGAAGCTTACCCCCTACAAAATGCTTCAGTACTATTCCCGCGATTACTCCGCAGGCGATGTTTACAGCCAGGAAGATAATCACAAGGAAAATAAGCATCATTCTAGATCCCTGATACATGGCATATAAGCGAGCAATCATCACAACTAGCATCATGTTTCGGTCGAGTCAACATCCCAGAGGTATTGCAGCTGGGTAACTCACTGCCCAACGTAGCAGCTATGACCACGTTTGTCACATTCATTATGTAGTTCGTAATATTGCCTGAAACACTCGATTAGTGATCATCCTCGTGCTAGTATCAAACGCTCCAACTTACACCTATTAAATCGTTATATTGAGCTAAGCTTAATGGTCAGAATCTCACCTACCCCTACAAATGAGTGTATTTATTAGAATGATCAGATATGAATAAGATGGTTGTGGAACACTCACTGCATCTGTCAGCGAGATAAATGGTATGCTTGCTGCGTGCCGCCGGTCAGAAAAATCGAACATAGTGCATATCAGACATACACAAAACATAGGCGCTAATTGTCAGAGATAAGCTATTAGCATGGTGCCAAGTTGTTGACTTCGCCACATACACAGAAAACGGTATTCCAACATAGCGTATCTATAACATTGTGGAGTCAGCACAACTTGCTAACCTCACGCTATAGATAATAGAAGTACGAACGACCAAATACAACAAAGTCATGAGAGACCAGCGTTGCCTCTGTTGCGATGTCATTGTATTTTCCCCGTTTTTTCTTCTGATACAGGATTCTTGTCACTCACCCAGATCAGTTCAATCTATGACAGCATTCTTAGCGAGTTTTCCGCCTCAGCCATAACACTAACCTACCTCTTGTCCTAGTGTTAGTACTGCAGATATCATAAGAACATCAGCAGTTTTCGAACACGGTTCTGCTCACCCCAATCGTATACCACCACGACGCCAGCGGCAACTGCGAAATCGGAAGTCAATGTTAGAGCGAGATATCTTGATGCGACAAACCTGTCCAATAGCTGAGAAACACATTCAAATCGATCAGCGGCCACCAACTGGGATTATTTAAGACTACGGTCATTCGAGGGATGGGCGCGAATGATTGGGGAATGTTGGCAGTGTTCTGCCGGTCAGTGAACCAAGTTCACGGTCATTGACCGGATTGCGTGGGAAAGCTGGCGAACTTCGTCGACGTTCATCTGAACACGACTTTCAGGAGTTTCCTGGTCCTACTGTAACGAACTATACTATATCTGGTCAATGCTAGAATCTTTGATTATCCTCGTGCCGCTTCACATATCATTACTCACATAAACGCATGGTTTTCGTGTGTTCGGTTCAAGGGTACGTTTTAAGGCTTAGAACTCGAAGATGGACTCCCGACTTTTGACACACCATGAAGATCGGCAAGAGATCAAACCAAGGATGGTGGTGGGATCACTTCGTGGAGCACCCAGGTTATGCTGTCAAAGACCCAGCTTCGATGGTCAGTGGAAAGGCAAAGGTAGTGTGTGCAAGGCTCTATGAGCAACGTGTTGCGCATGAGGAGGCAATGGATGAGCAGCAGGTACACTTGGGCCAGCGAGATGCACCAAGGGACGAAATGGCAATAGCAGGCACTCGTACGCAAGTTTGTTTTATAGCTTTCTGTTACTAACTTAATGTACTAGTTTGGGCTAGTGGCCCGAATGATCCCCAACGCACCTGGTTAATCAGTCGGCCGACAACACTATTATGTCACTTACGTGATTGTGCATTGCACTCTGAGGATGTCCGTTCGCAAGCACGGCTGGAATACAAAATGGCGCAATCGGCTCTCAACTGAGACACTCACCCTTCTGGCAGAACTCAAGATGTATGTTCACGAAGAGCATGTACGCAACGATGTGGTCAAGAAGTGGCTTCGACGCCGGTACTGTGACACCGAGGCCACTGACAAAGCAGAGCCTACTCAAGCAGTTCATGCAGTTGGTGACAATCTATCAGGAGAAAGCAGCGAACGGGAGCCATGCAGCCTCGCTTTCGAGAGGCGAGGGATAAGTGATGTTGCAGCAGACCTTATCCGAGCTGTTCAGGAGGAGGAGATTTCCACCACAGAATCAATGCACTCAGTCCCCATTGGTGCTGCCGGTGCCGGTGGTTCATTCTCCCGCATTGCTGTCAGTGACTTACTCGACTATTCTCGTGCGGAGGAATGGTTGGGATCTTTTTATAAAATCGCTATTCGAGGTTTGGATGCTGAGCTTGAGTTATATGAGCTTCTTGACTTAGATGCCGAGGGAATTGATGATCCAGACTTTCCTCAAGTTGATGATGTTCTTGACGAGTAGATAAATGAGCAGTGCTACCAGATGTTATAGTAGTAGTAGTCGAGTACTATCCATTCTGCGATTGTTGACGCACCGTGTACTGCGGCACTTTGAACCTGCTTCATCGTCCAATCAGACATGATTATCTAATATTCAAGCAGGACATCTGGCACTGCACGAGTTCAGTTCACTTGCATTCATGGGAAAGTTCGCGGCTGAACGTTAACTTTGATAAACGTACACTGACCGGCAGAACACTGAATGTTGGTGATGCCTATAACGATGGTGTTCTCACTAGATATAGCACCGCTTCTATTTCCAAAGTCAGCATATTCGGATCATCGGCGAAACGGCATTTTCTTGGCGCCTTGTTCGGAGCTGAATCTGATTGGGCGAGGTACCAACGTAATCCACTACGGAGTGCTACAGAGCGCTCTGTAGCATTCTTGTAACATGGTCAGACCGCCGCCCGCGCATAACCGTTACACCAAAAGGTGAAATACTGAATTCGGCATCAGTGACGGTATATATACTGATTATGGGAATTCAGGTAAACCGTACTTACAATTCTGTAGCACAATCCAACCCGCTGATGAAGATATGTAACTGAGATATATATAAATTGTCAGGCTGCTGCTGCAATATGCACGGTGCTAATGACAGCTGCATGTTTCCCCTAGGAACAAGCTAAAGTCCAGTCGATACAGTCATCGGGGGGCACTGAAGCTTGGCAAGAAGCTTCTCATTTGAACAGAGGGCGATGATTCCGCATATACCCACATTCCTTCAAGCTTGACTAGTAGTACCCGTCCAACTCATCGACATCGACGGAGGTCGTAAACAGTCTAATTCCATGGTCGTTACCGACACAGACGGTTCGTGTATACGTTCGTTGCTATCTCGAATGCGGAATAGAATCCGTGATGCCAGGACGCTGTGACTGACCAGCTGTAGCCTAGTGCAATGGGTTCCAGATCAACTAGCGGTCAGAGTGCAACCGGCGGTGACGTACGCATCAAGCATATCGCTATAGGCACTCTGCAGAAAAAACAGAAAGTGAGTGAATAGTAGGGTTTGATAGCCCAGATGCGTACTGGAAGTGCAGCTCCGATGATAACATTGGCGAGTGTGATGCCTTTTTCAAACGCGTTACTCGATGATATCTTGAGAGAAAACCATTTCCACGCACCAAGGATGCACAACATGTAAAACATGCCATCGTGATACAGGGTTACCACAATTCCGCTCTGAGAGTTTTTGTAATTGTGAACCCTCTTATACACAGTAAGGATCAGTATCACTACCATGTTGAAATGGGTAAGAAGGCCAATAGATAGCTTTGGATAATCACTGACCGCTTTCGAACATCGCCAAGAATATGTATACGACCGCCTCATTGCGTGTGTCCTCGAAGTAACAAGTTCCTAGGGGAGGCTCCTCTGATAGTCAAATTAGAACCACTTTCGTTCGTAACCACTAATGAGCTCACCTCCTGGAAGCAGCATCGTAGGGCTGAGGTCTACAGCAAGGGCGGCGGCAATCATCAACTATGCAATGATAAGAATCTATGCGGTCATTCCTCCTCTGCGAAACACACACCGCACTATAAACCAATAATCCGATCAGCAGTCTTTTACTCCTCTGCCAGAATGCCCAGGTCCGAATGATCAGCAAGGCTGCCAAGAATGTGAGATCCATTGCGCTCTCAATGTATGGGGAACGCGCACATTCCGCAGCAACGATACTTATTATGTGAATGACTGACACCATAATGTTTAAGTCGTATGAAAAATGAACCGTTTGACAGGTCGACTTACTTTTTCCTTGCGGAGAAGAAGTACACTTTCTCCATGCAATCAGCTTAACGTAGAAACTATTCGTCATCCAAGCTTACCTGATGTTTGACACGCAGTGCATCTAATATATTCCCATCAGCAATACAAAAAATAAAGAAAATCAGAGTGAGTCACTCGCCATATGCAGTCAATCCAACACCCGCGAAAGGCAAATATCGAGAAATGACAAAAATGACACGAGTTACATCCCATGGTCTGAACCAGGTTCATCGCACCTGTTGAGAGTGGTCAAAACAATACTCGTCAAAACAGATATTTCCTCGACCTCTTCGGGAAACGTAATGCAAAAATCAAATACCTGCAACATCGATTTAGATTTGATGTAGAAATACAGGAAATGTGATTGGTACTCACGAGGATTGCAATACTGCCCACTGAAAACAATGGTCAGTGCCATCGTCCAGTTTTCAGACGATCGGCGGACACTCACAATTGGCGTACTAAATCAGACATAATGTCAACATCGAGTTTATAAGAGGAAAGCCGCCCTTTACTCACCTTGACTGTCTGCAACTTCATCAGGTCTGAGACAGATAAGGAAGACATGAGGATAAATCGATATTCAGTATGCGCCTTGTGATGACCTGCCCGCAAGTCCTGATCACTGAATGGAACCTCCGAGCGATACGCCCGCGAGCACTAGTACTTAAGTATGGTGTTCGCTGAGCCATTGGGATTTATTTAATAACCGATACTGCCGCCCGCGCATACATGTACAGCCTAAGGCAGATCTTCATCTGATATTCATCGGAGATAGTGTACACTGTACACTGCGTGTAAATTTCCGACGGTCGATACCATGTCATGTGACTCCAGGATCAAGTTTTACCTGTTTCTGCTACACGGGACATGCCAACATCAAGTTTGGCCGCATCAATGCATCAATTCCAGCCAGCTGCTACCATGGGTCCAGAATCATATACTCCCACCGCAAGCAAATATAGGGCCTATAAGATGTTGGCAACTTTAATTTCGGGAAATTGAACGAATCTGGACTTGCAATTGAAGGAGATCCTACTGAAATTTGAAACGTTATAGATCTGTTATGGAAGATCGTTGTCCGATGTTAAATCCAGAAGCCCGTTCTATTGGCTACATACCTGTATGCTACACATGGTGCACGGATCCTCGATCGTGATTCATAACTGGAATCAATCAACTGACAACAAATTTGTTGTCATGTTGGTCCTTGCGATTGATTCAGTCATAGCCACTGTTGTTTGGCGGTGCACAAAAGTTTTACAACTTACAAGCCTTGAGATCTTTCGCTGTAAACCGCTCGTGTTCTCAGACCAGATAATCAATCTGGCAAAAGATTGCCGTCAAAGTCTTGGAAGTCGTACAGTAAAATTTTACTGCATCTGTGATGATTTGATGGCCCATATATCAGTATCAGCGCCTTGAGACTGCGAATCACCATATGGTAATGACGTGAGTCAAGGAAGGAAACACCTGGAATGAGACTCACATCATGCCAGCCTATCAAAAATGCGCTGTTAGTCCTTGAGAATTCGAGTCCGGCAGTAACTGTTCTCAGTTGAACAGCAATAACACGAGCAAGACCCAGGTAAAAGAGTACAAGAAATGTTGTGATAGTCCAGAGGTCGATAGTGAGCATAGTTGAAGTTGTCATGGCCGAAACCTAGTCTCTCCTAGGGCTAGTCAGACCAAAGGAGACGGAAGACAGTCGTTCCTTCTATATTATGGGGTGACTTCAAGTTGTCCGAGCTGCCCATCACTGCCTCAATGACAGACTGTTGTCGACGATATGATAGATGCACCTCAGGCCAGCACGCACTTACCTCCCGTTCCCACGGTCGGCCACGCTCATTGCCATCAACACTTGAGCTAACACAACCACACCCCCGCTAAATCAACTGCCTCAAGGCCTCTCCACATTGGGAGCGAGTCATTCCTTGCGAACGAAGACGTTCACAAAAACTCATTAGTAACCACTCCTAGACTTGATGAATGGCATACAAGACGAGTTGCTGCTGTGTTCAACATAGCCCTCAAATGTCTTCGTCATCCATGGCAGGAGAAGCAGGGCCGGGACAAAGGATAAACGCACGTCTCTTTCTCCCTCTCTACTATATCTACGCATTACACTCACTCGAACACCACTCGACCTCCAAGCTCAAGACCCATCCCCCACATCCGTGGCTAGATGCCCCTTCCTCCCACCCTCAGAAACGTACCATCGCGCACCCGAAAACCATAGACGTTTCTCCTCACGGACCTCCGAGTGCTGCGGGTGGCTGCGAGACTGGCAGTGATGAGCTAAGGCCAAAGGGTGGTGTGGGGAGTGACGCCGACGTCGATGGATGACTGCTACTAGTCGCGCGGGTGTTAGGTGCGGAGTCCTGGCTGTGTGGGGCATGCCTCGAATGTGCGCGACGCCTTCCAGCTCCAAACAACGCAGAAAAGCGTGCATTGTCCACCAGTGCATGGTGCTTGCCGAGGTACGTCTTGATTTTGTTGGTCAGTGAAGCGATTGTGTCCTTTTTTTCGACGGCGAGTCTGCGATAGTGAGAAAATCAATGAAGCACGGATTATGGTGGATCTCACCTGATGTTGATGAGCTTTTGCTGCTGCCCTATAGCTCTTCCTTGAACTCCAGCAAGGGCTTCTTGAATCTGCGACTCGCGCTGGAGCTCTCTGCTCGGATTTGGGGAATGGGCATCCCTGCCCCGAGCGCGCCCATCTGTCGTCGCGGATTTGCGGCATATTTGCCAGTAGTGAGT